TGTACTGTCAGTTCATATCCACCTAAAGAAAAATGATCTATCACTCAATCTTCTAAGAATCCTATGGTTCAAATAAAATTTTACATAGATTTTTGTAAATAGTATACCATTTTCTTGTATAACAAACAATAACTTAGGTTGCTTCCGTTGAATTCTTTGTGTTTACAACAATAAAAAATATATAAAAAAAATAAAATAAAAATAAAATAAAATAACTAAAAAGAAAATTTTACTTTTACTACCACCAAAATACATGCATTTCACTTTTGTTATCCCTTTAAAATTTTATTTTATATTGCTACCTCCTAAAATCACATAATTTAAATTTCACTACTACTTAAGGAAATCCGTTAGGGTTCCGTTAAGTTTATTAAAAAAAATAAAAATAAAATAAAAAATAAAAAAAACCCAGCCACCCTCAACTGCCCAAACTCCCCCTCCCCCCTGCCGGTGGCCGGCGCCCAAAGCTTGGGCCAACGCCGGCGACCCCACCCCAATCCCTTTCCCCCACCTACGCAGCCACCCCCTTCCTTTTCCCCTTCTTGCTGCCCCCGATCCCCACCCCGAACCGGAAACCACCCCCTCCCCGTTCTCCCCACCGGAATCGGCCCCCCTCCCCATTCCCCCACCGAAATCGACCCCCCTCCCCTTCCCCCACCCAAAAACCGGCACCTCTAACCTTAAACCACCAGCTCGAAATCACCCTAAATGGGTTTTAGGGTTTCGCTTATGGTGGTTTAGAGGTGGTGGGTTAGGGTTAGGGGTGGCCGAAAAGGGTAGGGGAAGGGGAGGGGGGCCGATTCCGGTGGGACGAATGGGGTGGTTTCCGGTTCGGAGTGGGGGGGTCGGGGCAGCAAGAAGGGGAAAAAGGAGGGGGTGGGCTGCGTTGGGGGGGGGGGAGAGTGGGGTAGGGTCGTCGGCGCCGGCCAAAGCTTTGGGCGTCAGTCGCCGGCAGGGGGGAGGGGGGAGGCTGGTTGACGGGAGGGGGTTGGCTGGGCAATTGAAGGTGGTGGACTGCGTAGGTGGAGGAAAGGGAGGGGGGAGGGTGATTGGCTGGGTTTTTTTTTTTTTTTTTAAACATTTTCATTTTTTTTTTTAATAAACTTAACAGAACCCTAATCAATTTCGTTAAAAGGTAGCAAATTTTAACAAAGTTGTTTTTGTGCGGTAGCAAAATAAAATAAAATTTTAAAGGGGTAGCAAAAGTGAAATGCATGTGTTTTGGTGGTAGCAAAAGTGAATTTTTTCTAACTAAAATAAGTCACTAGCAATCTAGTGCTATAGCATTTTCACCTCTGATCAACACAACTTGTAATCTAGCAAGTAATTTACACTTGATAAAGGTGGCAATTGAATTGTCCTAATTAGGTTTGAGTCAATTCAAGTCATCTCATATTTGAAAAATGATCCAATTTGGGTCAAATTATAGTCTAATAAGGTCAAGTATATGTATCATGATTAATAAATAAATAAATATTAGCCTTATAAATATTCAAGCTAGATTATATAAAGTCAATTTTGATTTAGCTCAAAATTATTTAGTGTAATCTTTAGTACACGTCATGTTATGCTACTTTGACTGATTAATTCAATACAAGTTTGATTATGCGGGATCAATGGTATACAACTATACATACACCCAATGCAAGCACTTACACGAACATGATTGATCTAAGGTTCAACAATTCCACTTTATACCTCCACCTGACATTAAAGGTCAATATACTACAAGATAATATGCCATCTAAACTATGCAATCTAAAGGGCCTGTTTATTTCAGCTTAATTTTAGTTCAGTTCAATTCCAATCAGTTCAGTTTAATTCAGTTCTTAATTTCCTTTTCTCATAAAATATCCAGTTAAGTTCAGTTCAGCTTCAATCAGTTCAATTCAGTAAATGTGAATAGGCCCTAAGATACGTTAGATTTTCAACTAAGTTTTACTCTGTCCATTTTCACGAATATGAATATTCCAATTTGATAGTCGTTGCTTTTATTACCTACCAATTGTTTGAGGTCCACAATCTAGTTACCTTCTTTTCACTTTATGCTCTTAGCACCAAATGCCATCACAAATTCTCCAAAAAGGCGGGTGTATATTAATTTATTGTAAAACGAGTTAAACTTATGTTAAAAGTATTTAAAGTTACCTTTTATACTGCAAAAGTTATTATTTTTCTATTAATAAATTTTATCTTACAAGAAAACTTATAATATATTAGATTAATCATATTAGTCTTTATAGTATGTAACCACACTATAAGAAGTTACACATTAAAATAATTTTCAAACCAACGATAAATTAAAAGTTACCATTTAAATGATTAAAGTTACCATAAAAATAGTTAAATATACGCTCAAATTAATCGTTTTACAATAAAATTAATGTATACCTATTTTACACAAAACTTATTCAAATGCCATTGAAAAGAACAAAGAAAACCCTCCCAAAATAGAATGTTCATGTAACATTTCCACTTTTGTACTACCCACCAAGGGGTAATTTTAGTCATTTCACTTCTCACCCCGTATCAGATTCGCCACATTTCTTGTCCATTTCTTTCCCACTCTCTCTCCTCTCAACTCTTTTCAGAGCTTTCTAGGGTTTTCTCTCTAAATAAATTGAGGAAATCAGGGATTTTCGCGCCAATTAATCCCTCATTTGTCGTCAAATTCGCTAATCAAACGTAGAAATTTATATCAATTGATAAAGAAGTGCGTTGTGAATTGGGCTTAATCGCCCTTTAATTGCGCCAATCGATGATCGTCATTGTTCCATGGACCAATCTTCACTGCACCCCACTTCCCCTGTCGAAGAAGATGACGAGTGGGGTATGCCCCTTTTCTTTATTTATTTTTTCCTGCTAAATTGAATTGATTTATTGTGTTTTTTACTTGTTTTTTTAGTAAATTGTCGAACTTGCTATGTATGGTTTTGCTTGTTACTGGTTTGATGATTATGTTATTTTTGAAGTTATGAATTTCAATGATTCATGTTAGGGTAATGATTTTTCCAATTTGGTTATTAATTACACCCAGTGAAATGAATTTTTAGGCAGTTTTTAAATTTATAATTATTGACATGTACTTGTCACTAGAACTAGAGCAATGCTAAGTTGCCAACTTTTTGATTGATTATACTTCGAAAAAGAGAGCGATTGAGCTAATGAGAAATAATGGGTGATTTAGATTTGTTTAGGTTAACTTCGAAAAAGAGAGCGATTTCGAGGTTTGCAAATATTGGCTTATTGAGGCAGGCCTTCACTTTTGCTTAGGTTAAGTAATGGATGTGTTTTCTTTTGAAGATTTTGAGTTCTTTTTTGAGTTTTTAGTAATACGAAAATTGGGTATATTTTTGACAATTGAAGAACTTGATATGAATCTTGTCAAGGTTGGGTCTAGGGAAACTAGGGAAGTCAATAGATACGTGGCCGTAGTCCATAAAAAGTCAAGGATTATTGATGTTTCTTTCATTGATTTCAGTTCGTGCTGTTTCTTATATTCTTATGTTTGATTGTCATAATCGAATTAATGATGACGTCAAACTAATTAGGTTGTAATATTGTATGTCCTATAGACTATTGTCTCTTAGTCTTGATCTTTGACATTTTGACTGCATGTATTACTTTTTGATTAATATAAGTTTTGTTTGATAAAAAGGACTAATAGGTAATCAAGTCTATGCATCCCTCTACGTTAAACCGTAAATCACTTTAACCAACAAGTTAGACGTGTCTTTGACCAAATGAGCCGTTGTAGACTCCACTTCCCAAAGTAGTAGTTCGTAATGAGGGTTTTAGCTAGAATAACATAATGTGTAGGATGGTTTCTCATCATGTGTTGATTGCTTTCATTCTATAAGGATAACAACACCTATACATTTTTTTGTTTTATTTTTAATTCATTTTCATGTTGCCTCCAGACACTGATGGATTTGTAATTCCAAGCTTGGGAATAGAGAACCCTGACCAAATTGAATCAGATCCTTCGAAGGTAGATGTCTCCAAGTCTGCTCCTTTGAAGGTAAATTTTTGTCATTCTTTTTTTTTTGTCCGTATACCCCGTACCTTGGTAGGCTTTGGTAGCTTGACAGATGAAACATACCATTTCTGATTGATTGTAAAAACCTTTTCTGGATGGTCAGGATAATAAGCTAGAAAAAATTTACTTGGGACCCCACGGAGCTCCACCACAACAGAAGCAACAAGAGCAAAACCCCACCAATCGTAAGCAGCGTTTCAAACAGAAGCTCAAGGAAGCAGACAAGAGGATTGGCAGCACAGGGCGAGAGAATAGAGTCGAGAGCTTAAGAGAACTTGTTGGTGGCAGTGGTAAGGTAAGTGGAAAGATGGCCAAGGGTTCGTCCAAGGATTGGCTTGACCCACACTGTGATGAGTCGATGTTTGATGGACGGAATCGTCAGTGAATGCTTTACAAGCTTGAGATTACTTTCATACTTTTACTGGTTTTATTTGTAGAACCTCTTTTTACATATCTGAGAGTTACAAGGAGCATAGGCATGGTGCACCTTGATTATGAACCTGTTTATAACATTTGTGTTGCTTCTTTTGGTTATCTGCATCAGTTTCTATTTATGCAATGGGTTTGGTTACTTCTGATTTTTTTTTTCTTTTAGTCCCTAGTCCCCGTAACCTATGTTGTGCAAGTCCAAAGCCCGCCTTCAGATTATCTGCAGCAATATATTTGGATTTGCTATTTAATGTAGAGGAATGAATTGCACCAGATTCCAGTATCAATCACCATCCCCCCATCTCATTCCCAGGCAAGCCTCCCTACCAGGGAACGAAAGCTAAGATGCAAATTAAAAAGCGGCAATCTGAACCTTTCTTTGAGATGAATTACAGTTTTGTATTACAGTAACTGAACTGGTTTTGTAGATCATACTTGACATTTGAAATTCACAAAAACAAAATGGTAATGTAAATTGAACAAATTGTTAAGGTGGTTAATATTTTTAAGAAAGTAAATAAAAAAGATGGCTTGTAAAGTGGTGAATAAACTGTAGTTCCTCGAAATAGTTCTTGACATGCACATCCCAATGTCAATGGTTCAACAATTTTCAGAGTTTTCCAATTAGTAGAGTTACATTTAAATTATATGTTGACACAATCGAACAATTCATAAACATATATGAGTACTTCATATATGCTCGGTGATTAATTTGACTACCCCGTACTAAACAAAACTGGTTGATCTAAATTCCAGCATCGACACCTCAGGGCTCAGACAATCAGTCTAAAACTTTCAGCATACTGGATCTAGTATGTCATTTTCAATTTTCTCTGGTGAGCTGAATTGGTTTCTACCTATCTTTCCTCTCACAGAAGGCCAAGAAATTCCAATCCACTGGCAGATGGAGTCAAACCCAGCTCAGAGAGGTACTCGGCTTTGTAGAATCTACTCAGATGCCTCATCCCATTGTCGCACAGGATTGTAACAATGGTATGGCCAGGACCCAGTGCCTGAGCAACCCTAACAGCTCCAACACAATTCATGGCTGAAGAGCTACCTAAGAAAATCCCATCATTCTTCAAGAGGAACCTGATGCAGTTTAAAAATTGACTATAAGCTTTGAACTGAAAGGAAACCGGGAGACAAAGGGAGACAAAACAGTCAAATATGGAGAAAAAACTTCGGAATAAAATCAAGAAAACAGTAGCTTGGTGCATGCATGGAGTTAAGTACAATATTCACTACTGGAGAACAGATTCATAAAACGGCAAAATTTATAACAGGGATCTAGGAGATGTTTTGCCTAAAGTTTTTAATAAAGGTTAAAAAAAAAAGGAAACATTTAGAAAAGAGAGGAATGTGGCATGTTTCATCAAGCTTTCATGCGCTGTTAACTCGCCAAGAGCCAACAGTTAAAAAAGCAAGGATTGATCACAAACATATGGTGTCAACAGCCTAGACATTACAGGGATATGAAAGCATGGGGGCTTACCTAGACATCTCAACAGCCTCCTTGTCTGTGCCTCGGAAAGCGCCATCTAGCCTTGCCTTCATGAAATTATGAGTCAACCTATTTATTCCAATGCCCTCAATTATAGTGTCAAAGGGGTTCTTTAGCCTCTTCCCTTCAGCCTCCTCCTTTGAATACATGACTCCCCTTGTTACTCTATTGAACAAGCCTGAACCAGGAGGGTCAATCAGGAAGCACTTGATCTTATCGTTTTTCTCCTGTCAAGTAAGGAGGAATCATTTAGTACTTTCCGGCTTTCTGCAAATAAATGCATTGCTAGGTGACAACATCAAAAGGGAGAACTCACCTTAAGGAAATGAGAAACACCTGCTAATGTGCCCCCAGTTCCAGCAGCTGCTACAAATGCATGCAGCTTTCCTTCAGTTTGCTCCCAGATTTCAGGCCCTGTGCCTTCGCAATGGGCTCGAAAATTGGCCAAATTTTCGAACTGGTCTGCAAAGAAACCTCCAGTACAGTCCCTTGAAAATGTGTAATTTTTCTTCTGCTCTTTAAATATTTCACCATTTGTTTGCTCTTGGGTTCTGTTTGGTGTTTCACTATTTTTACCATATTTTGCTGCCTGCTCATTAGCTTCTGATGCCCGTCTTCTAGCTACATTTACAAAGTGGTCTCTGTGAGTGATTGACACGGGTCTGACCCGCTCAACTGTAGCACCAAGAGCTTCAATAATCTGAGACTGTTTGTTTTGGAGGGGACGAGGGATAGTGAGAGACCAAAATAAAACTGCATAGAAATTTTCGAAGAAAAGAAGGTTCAAGCTTTGGTGGAGTAGGCCAAAACATACCTTTTCTATAGCAACATCATCTGGAATCACAACATGACATTTACATCCGTAAGCAGGAGCAACTGTTGCGAGACTAATGGCAGTACTTCCAGCACTACCTTCAGTAACCACTCCACCAGGAGCTAGTTGACCAGATGCCAATGCCTGAGCATATGCCACATATTAGAGGAAACAGAAACATATGCAATCAATATGAACAAAAAATAAAATCCTTCCCTTGTATAGAGTACATCACATTAAAACCAAAGGGAGAACAGTTAGAACACTACATCTGAAGCAGGGTCAAAGACCAACAAAAATGCAAGGCAGAAGCCTTGCATGTATACACAGACACACAGGTATGGGTCCAGCCGTCCAGGTGCTAAACTCAACATTTAATGAGAATTTTGGATGACCTAGCCAACATGTGTTGTCTGTGTCCATACCCGGTTGAAATTATCATGTATCCAGCAGGGTATTAATGTGAAATGAAGCATCTAAATTACTACACACCTAAATTCCTATATATATACCTTTGTTGACTATGTCTAAGCACAAGAGGGTACCTTCAACTACTGCCTTGCTAAGTTGCATGATACCCAAGAATAATTGTGGTAACATAAGACTGTGTTCAGTATTTAAGTTGTATAGGGTACAGCATAACGTTCTAGAAGAATCCAAGCAAACTCTCTTTAGACACATCTGCGGATATCACTCTTCTTGGCTCATAAGGTGCCACAATATTAAACATTTAAACCTACAAACAAAGAAATTGACCGTGAAAAAAACAGGTAACCCTAGAATGAATAAAATGCGGCTAAGAGAGTCACTAGATTTTCAAAGTCATTAATAAGGTGAAAACATGTGGATGGCTTATAAAGAATATTCGTACAATGGCTAATCAAAGAAAGTGCCTCTAAAATTTTCAATATAGTAACATCACTTGGTCCTGAATTGCTGCTACCTTAATAGTATGCATTTCAATTAAGCAGCCTTCAACATCTCCAATCCTGAACTAAGCCTCCCATACGGAACTAGAAATGCTTACAAATTTCTCATTCCTGAACTAAATTTCTTTTTAACCCAATGAGGCACATTTCACATCACCAATTCAACTGACAACATGAAGTGGGACATCCAGCCTTTTCTTTAATTATAAATGCATATGAACACATAACTCTACCATCTTCTAACAGTTCAGAGCTCTATTTTCATCCCCCAAATCCTTGTTTGCTAAGTTCATTTCAATAAAATGTAATCACTCAGCAGTAATTCAAAATACCAGTATGAGTCCAGACGTTAACGACACCATTACCTCAATGCTTTTAAGCAATGCTCCTGCTTCGAGCATGATAGAGGGGGGCCAAATATACTCAAATACTTACCCCAGCAATAGCAGAGTACAGTACGCATAGGTTATGAGATACTCAATTCCGCATGAAGCACAATCAATGAAACATAACAGCAAACTCAGCTTAAAAGTACCTCTTCTATGATTTTAACAGCAATCCTGTCTTTGACACTTCCTCCTGGATTCAAGAACTCAGCTTTCCCAAGAATCTGCTCAAACAAAATTAATTAGGGCTTTGCTTTGCTAATTGCTAGTACAAAACATTCAGCTAGTATTGGAATGTGTTTAACAATCAGGTAAAAACCCCTAATAAAGAATCCTCAATTCTTGACAATTAGTACCAAATCATCAAATTAGCAAATTAAGGACATGTTACCACAATTAACATTGAACAATCAATCATTCAAAACCCCAACAAATAGAATCCTCATTTCTGGACAATTAGTGGCAATTCAATAAAAAAAATAAAAAAATAATAAATAGTAAATTTACACACAATAGCAAAATTAACATCAAACAATCAATCAATCAACAACCCAACAGAAAGAATCCTCATTTCTGGACAATTAGTAGCAATTCAATCAAAAGAATTAGCAGTTTAAACACCCATTAGCAAAATTTAACATTAAACAATACATCAATCAGAACCCCAGCAACAAGAATACTAATTTCTGGACAATTAGTAACAATTCTATCAAAATAAATAAGCAAATTTAGCACATATTAACAACATTAACATTAACAATAAATCAATCAAGACCCCAACAAAAAGAATCCTCATTTCCGGACAATAAGTTGCAATTCAATCGAAAAGCAGCACCTTTAACACATATAAGCAAATTTAACATTCAACAATCAATCAATCAATCAAAACCCCAATAAAAAACAAAAGCAAAATTTTTGAACACCCACATCACAAAAACTCCATAAAATCAAAATTCAAGCTAAGAACCTCGCAACCAGTGGCATCAGAAAGACTATTAATTCTAATCAAAGGGGTATTTCCAATTGCACCAACAATTCCACTTCCATACTTTTTAGTGCAATTGAGATTTTGAGTTTTTGATTTGGGATGCTTGAAAATCCGTTGTTGGTTGAAAAGGAAGTAAGAAAGGGTGGCTAAAGAGAGAGAAAGAACGGCTACACAACCAACCATTGCGCCATTGGTGCAGTTTACCGGCGCCATTAGTGACTTGATGGGTTGGACTGTATCTTCTCTTTCTAACCATTTTGGGTGCGGTTGATTTTGTGAGTTTTAGACCGCCTAAGATTTGGAAATTTTGAGAATTAAACCGCCAACCAAAGCTACAAATTTTGGGTGTGGTTTTAGACCCAACTATAGATGGATCATGATATTGTTTGTTTTAGTTTTGGACTTTGATCAATATTTTTTTCTTTTTGATGTACAATTACAAGTGCTTTCGTGATGTTTAGTTAAATCATGATATATTAGATTAGAAGAGATCAGATAAATTTTTAATCAAATTAGATCGTAACACCTTATTTCAAGTGAAATAATATAATCTAAGAGTTAATAATAGACAGTAGTCAACATTATCCGATTTCATGAGAGAGTAAGATAAGAGCTAAAGAGCTCCTTCTAAATATGGGGGATCAAATTCTCATTTCCTCCTCTCTTAGCTAGGCTATGAATAATAGCATGAAAAGACAAATAGATTGAACAATGAACAAATGAAGTAAATTTTTTAAAGGTGTTTAGTATTTTTGGTATATTCTAACTACGGAGTAATATTTGGGCAAAATTTTATAATTAACTAGGGCAGCCAAAGCACGTGTTGCGCACGGGGTGGCTAGCCCTTTCGGCTTAATTTTCTTGGCTTGTGTTTGCACTTGACATGGAATTAATGGATTAATAAAGGAATATCTCTTTATTGCTTAGCTTTAATTTTTCTTGGCTTGTGTTTTCACTTCACATGGAGTTAATCGTCCGCTGCCGATGGCTCTTGTCTTTGGTGTTGAAGGATATTTTGGGAAATCTGATACAACAGGTTGCACCCTTATTTAAGTAGTGAAAAAAATAACGTGCTAACACTTTATATAGGAATTTATGATGCTAATATATATATATATATCTTTTGCGCTCATTGACCTAATTGGAAACAATAAGGTACAACATATAATAATACAGGGTAGATCACAATACATAGTAGTGGCATAAATATATAATAGTATTCAGATACACATGATTTCACAATGCTCAAAAGTTAACAGATAAACAAAAATTGAACTTAGGACAAAATGCTTCTAACAATTTGGTTTTGTAATAAAATAAGCTCTACGCAGCCCCATAATTCCCTTGATAATTCCCCTGAATCCTTTCTTACTTTCTTCGTAGTCAGTTTGGTTTCCGTTCTTCCTAGTACCTCTACTTCGGTACAATCATAGATTAATTTCATTAGTTTAATGTCCTTTAAACACAATTATGTGTAAGTCGTTAATTTTGACCTTCACAAAATAAAGAAAAAACAAAACTCCCACATGAAGCAACAACCTTTCGTTGTCTAGTGACTAATGTTGTCATGTAATTAAACCATAACCCCCATTAAATTAAATATAGAAATTTTAAACTTTATTATTCCATTTTCCATTTAATTTCTAATTAATTGATGGGTCTTAAGAAAAATTACAAAATTACACATGGGGCAAAGAAGGTAAACAAACATTTTGAGGGGTATAATGGTCCGTGCACTATTCATAAGAACAATCTCCTACTTTTTATAAGGTAGGGATAATGGTCAATTTTATTTTTTATTTTTTTTTTTACAACATTGTTTGTTTTTTGATATTACAACATTGTTTGTTATACTTTTACATCAAGAAAATTGACAAGCTAATTATTAAAGAACTACAAACAAGTAGTTTATTATAATCACTCATCTTAATTAACATCCAAAAAACGTTAATATAGACAAGATTTGATTTAAATTCCGCACTAAATACAATTATAATAACCTCCCATCTCATGCCATCATAGTTCATAGACAAAAGGCAAAAGAAAATTTTAGAATATAGTTTAGCAAAGGATGGTAAAAAGGTCAATCAATTATTTAATGGCCATTGACTCCTAAAGACTCCAAATAAGATGACTTGAATTGGTCAAGGCACGATTAAACATTAACTTAGATTTCACCAACCATAAGATCCAACTTTCCAATTACGCTCAAATTAAACTTCAAGCAATTAGAGAATCTAATTCCTCCTATGCGCAGCATATGAGGGATAGAGAAAAAGTTATTCTTAAATTATTGAGATTTCTTTTAACTCACAATCCAAGTTATTCCTTAGATTCTTAAATGTCACTAGAAAAATGTTACAAAAAGAGATAATTGAATCTCAAAACATACAAAAATTAATACACTTTTTAAGTTTTTTTTTTTTTTTTTTTTTTTTTTTTTCCACTTCATGCAAGAAAAAGCTATGACGTGCATGCATTATTGCATATGCAAATTATGTGTACCAAAATTAATATGCTAACTAATGTAACTTTTGAGAGGAACTAATATGTAACTTATACAAGTATATATATTATCTAAACAATTGTCTAAATTCTACTTAAGGGTAATAAAATAAATGATAACATTTTCCACTAGAAAAATCAACTCCTTTATAAACGATGTCCTAGGGGTATGGATGTATGGTATGATTTCATAATCAATTTTTAGAAGGTATTGCATGCGGATGGACGCACGAATTGTTTGGTGTGGGAGGCTTGGCTGATATATTTTACTTTACTTATTGGCTGATATGTTTCATTTGTTGGTTGATATGATTTTTGTGTTGGCTAATATATTCTTTTTTTTGGCTGATATGTTTTTTTTTTTCCTTTTGTTGGCTGATATCAGACATCATTTGGATTATATATTTATTTAGTTGGCTAATATATTTATTTTGTTGGGTTAATATGTATATTTTAATTGTTGACTTATATGTTTCAGTTTGTTGGCTTATATGTTTATTTTGTTGGCTTATATGTTTATTTTGTTGGCTTACTTGTTGCTTTTGTTTGCTGATTTCATCCTTTTGTTGGCTGATATGCTTCATTTGTTAGCTGATATGTTTCTTCAGTTGGCTGATAAGTACCTTTTGTTGGCTGATATATTCCTCTTGTTGGCTGATTTCATCCTTTTGTTGGCTGATATGTTTCTTCGGTTGACTGATAAGTACCTTTTGTTGGCTGATACATTTCTCTTGTTGTGATGTATTCCTCTTGTTGGCTTATATATTCCTTTAATTTTGTTGGCTGATACGTTTTTATTGATGTCTAATATGTCCCTAATGTTGACTCATATTAAACACCAATTGGCTGATATTTTACTTTTATTGGCTTATATGCATCATTTGTTATCTAATATGATTAACATCCAACAACTTTTTTTACTTTATTCTCTCTCCTCTTTCCCCTTCGTCCTCTCTTTCCTTCAAATAAGCCACAAATAATCCACGCCACCACACCGATTTCACCGCACCCACCAACCACCGAACCACCCACCCACCGAACCATTAACCACCAACCCGAGCAAGGCACCACCGCTGCACCGTCAAGCCACCACCTCCCCCTTAAACGCGACGGCCAGATCTGCTACGAGACCCTACATAGCCACGCCGTCGTCACGGTCAGCCACAGTCCCACCAAACGACCCTAACCTCACTCACCGCACCAACCAACAACCCCTCCAAAATCACAGCACCACCGCCAGCGAACTCCACCAGCGAATCGCACCTCCGCACCCACCGATTTCGAGATTCAAGGTTTGTTTCATCAAGTTTATTGCTCCTCTGATCGATGGTGCAAGGGATACTCGGCGAAGACGTTGGGAAAAATGTTGAAGCAGGGGAAGGGGGATTTTTGTGGAAGAAAGAGGCAGTCGCACGAACTGTAGGGTGCAGACGTCCGCATCCAATTGTCTGTGATTAATTTTTGACTTGTGTGTTTTGACAAAATAAAATTAAATAAGATAAAATTAAATAAAATATTATATTTTGGTAAGTTTAAAGATATATATTAAAACTCACTAATTTAGACAAAAAAATATTTAAATCAGATAAAATAAATTGAAAAGAAAACAATGAAAATATATATAATCAACGAGCATTATATTTGCTTTTCCTGATAATAATTCGTACTTCAAATATAAGAACGTTATTTATTAACACCGACCTTATGTTTTCTGGCCATGGTGGGGATCATTTGCAGAAGCTTTCGGTTGATAAACTGTTTGATTTGATGCACATTACCAAAATAATTACATCCAACATTATTGCTCATTTAATTAATTTGCTTGCCCATAATTTATAACAATACCATCTTTTTGCTCCACTACAATTTACATATGAATATAAATTTAAGTAGAAATCCAAAGGGCCAATGAAAATTAGATTAAGTGGATCGACAACAATCTAATTCTTTGGTTTCTTAAATGTTTTTAACTCTTCTAATAAATCTTATATAAGATGGGCTTATGTTAATTTATTACAAGTTAATTAATTTAAGAATAACAATTTTAATAGTTTTTATGTAACTTCAATTCCTTTAAGGATAACTTTTAATTTGTAATGAATTCGATAGTATTTTAATGTATAATTTCTAATAAATACATGTTGTAATATGATTAATCTTTTCTGCCCATTTAGTCTTCCCCTCGGTTTCTATACATTAGAAGTGTTTTTTTCGGGTAAAATTTTAGAGATATGACAACTTTTATAATATACGAAGTACATTATACAAGAGTAATTTTATATACTTTGAGCAACTTTAACTCATCTTACAATAATATAATGAAAGTCCGTCTTAGCTTAATCAAGAATTTGTGTTTCTATTTTCATCGTATTCAATAGTAACTTAAATGTATATCTTTATTTTTGTACTTTTTAAGGGATGGAGGCAATAAAGCAAAGTCGTGCCAATTGATAAATGCCACTATGGCAATTTGTAAAGTATTGAATATATATTGATAATAATGAAGTGTACTTAGACAAAGATTTATGCTAATAATAATGCAAATCACTCTTTAATTGAGAATTTAGCTAGACATCAAGGTCAATTACCACGTCATATTAGATCAAATTTTCTCAAAAAGTAACAAAAACATGAACATTGGTAAAGTACTTGGAACAAACAACCGACACTGCAGTCATGTAGACAAAATACATGTGTATGCAAAAGTTTCCTGCTTTTAATCTTGTAATAAAATATACTTATCTACCACCAAATGGTAAAAGTTTTTTTTTTTTTTTTTGAGGTCAGAAATGGGTATATTTTTCGTTGAATTAATTGTGTTTTTGGTTGAATTTGGTTCATATTGTTGACTAGAGTCACTAGATTGAAATGAAATCAATCATAGTACTTTTGACATGAATCTAGGTGTACCTATCTATGATCCACTAGCTAAATAGGAAACTATGGTTAGCTTAGTTCCATTAATAGGTGGTAAATTGAATCAAAGTAGGAT